CCAACCTTCCTTCCGAGGAGTGGCTGGTGGGTTTGAACCACCAGCCGTCTGGTTAGCAGGCAAGTGTCTTAGCTACTATGCTACCAGAGCTCCCAGAAAATAAAATAGACAAGTAGAAAATACTCTTAACAATGTATGTGTTGAACATTTTAAAACTACTATGTCACTCTTTATTATGAGGTACGGGGGTAGGGAAGGAAGCAAATAATCTAACAGAAGAAAGGGAATAATTCAGGGTTTTGACCAGAACATAAAACATCAGCATTTATTGAATGTGTAATTTTAGGTAAGACACTTGATTTCACTGGATGCATTTATAAATTTAGGGGTGAAACCCACCTAGCATCATTATTTTCATGAGATGAGCTGGAAAATATAAAGTCTTTAACATATCACCTAGCAAACAATATGTATTTAACTGTTAGTTCTATGGTCATTGCAAAAACAACAACCAACAGAAAACCCCAGCTCTTTATTTTCTTTTTAGTTTTTATCTATTCATCATTGTTTTACACTGACACAACTTAAAGCATCCATTTTATAATCATGGGATATTACAGCTGAAAAACTTTTAAGAACTCATCTAGCCTGGTGTCCCTATTTTCCAGATGAGGAAAAACTAAGGATCAGAGAACCCCCAATGACTTGGACAAGATCCCCAGCAGTGGTGTGCTTGATTTAAGGTGCAGATCCCTGAACCTTCACCGCTGTGTGCCCTTTCCTCTAGACCCACTGGACATTCAAAACAACTTTATTAGTTCCTTTCAAATGAAAGGACCTCTGGTGGTGAAGTGCCTAAGCCATCTGACTGCTAACCAGAAGACTGGCGGTTCAAACCCACCAGCCACTCTGCAGAAGGAACCTAGGGCAATCTACTTCTGTGAAGATTTATCACCTCAGAAACCTAATGGGGGACGTTATGAGTTGGAATCGACTCAGTGGCAGTGGGTTTGGTTTTGGTTTTTCCAATGAAAAAATGTCAACTATATGTTAAGCACTTTGATAACAAAACAAAGTGACCCACCTCACTTTGCATCTTTTGAGCCTCCCGTGAAGCTTGATATGATGGTGTCTCCACAAATTCAAGCATCGATTTTCCCTTACTTTTCTCATATTCTTCTTTGTATTTAACCTTCATTAAAAATGTAGAAAAAATACATAAATCTTAAAAGCCTGTATACAAATAGAGCAAAGTAAAATATACATCCAAAATTAATCATCCTATTTTTAAAAATTAATATTCTATTTAAGTGGGTCACCAGGTTCCCTGTGCTAAATGTCACACAAAAGGAAGTAGGAAGGTAATATATAAAATTTTCTGAGGTGATAAAAAAATAATTTAGAATAAATTATTTAGTTGTAAGTATAAAATATTTTATCAAATAGCTAAGCTTATCTTGAGATATAACCCAAACCCACTGCTATCAAAGTCCATTCCAACTCACAGCAACCCTATAGGACAGAATAGAACTTTCCCATAGGATTTCCAAGGCTGTAAATCTTCACAGAAGCAGACTGCCACATCTTTCTCCCCTGGAGCAGCTTGTGGATTTGAACGGCTGAATTTCTGATTAGCAGTCGAATGCTTTAGCCACTGTAACACCACAGCTCCTTATCTTGAGATATAGACAGAGTGGTATGGATATAAAGAACACAGATGGATCCCTGTGATAGTTTTGAATGTCTATTAGTAAATCATAAACAAGAAGGAAAACATGGATGTGATTATCTGTCAGACAAAAGGGAGGACATTTTCTGGGACTGCTGAATTTTTCCATAGACACTAAATAAAACACAAGGACAGGGTTTTCTTATGATTTCTTTAGTTTCACCATGCATTATTTAATAATAGCATATCATGAATTTTTTATTTCAACTACAATTAATCCTCATCTGATTGGAACTTATAAAATGATTTGCTATTTTCTATCAACTAATAACAAAAAATAAAATTATGTGTAAGCTGCCAGAATAGCAGGCTTTTCTGTCATAACTTTCTTTAAATTAAACTGGCAGAAAATTTTGATTACTTTTCTTGATTCATTTCATTCAGAAATGCATTTTCATTAAAATTCTAATGTTTAATAACTATTTATCTAGTAATTTGATTGGCTGTACACTAATAATAATATTAATTCAATCCAAAATAAATTTTTAATATTTGAACTTTATGGTAACAGGAAACATAGATTATAAAATTCCTATTTTAGACCTATTTTTGTTACAGAGACGTATAATAGAGTGAACAATGGAATAGCATGAAGCATAATAATATAAAAAGGCACATAAGGATAAAATTCTGTGCGGAAAGTGGAATGAAAATACAAATTAAAAACAGAACAAAAATTATGTCAAGTTCCAAATTTTAATGGAGAACTGATTTGTTTATTTTAAATGAAGGTGGACATCAAATCATTATGGAATTTATGTTACACAGGATATTTTGAAAAGAGTGGTATAAAATGTTGTCTTAACAAATGCGGGAAATGACATCTTTTGCAACCATTTAAATTTGGGATTAAAAAACAAGATATCAACTTCAAAAGTGTGTTGGGAAAAAATATTTTTAAGAACTTCTTTCAGTGAGTACAGAATTTTATAATTGAAAGGACATCAGTCAAGAATATAGTAAGTTTTTTTTTTTTTTTTTTCTTGCTAACAATACTTATAACTCAACCTTGCACCTGGAAAATTAATCATCACGAAATTTGGCTACTGCTTAATCAATCGCTGTATTGTAAGTTTTTAACCATGAAGTCATTTATTGTATGCAATGTGTTTCAAGCTCCCCTGACCCAATAAATATATAGAAAATAGTGTTGGAGGTTTTCCAAAGCTCTTTCTGAGGATGCACATTCTTTTCAACACAGCATAATCTCGGCTTCAGAGCTGTGGTGTAACGAGCAGCGAGTGTGGGGGTGGGCCCCAGGTCCTGGCCCCAAGCGCACTACCCTTGTGTACCTGGCTCTGGAGCATGGCGTTGCCTTTATGGTGCAGATGTTCCGCAGCATCCATGTCAAAATGATACAGTGCTTTATTTTCCTCGAAAAGCTTTTTATATTCTCGCTAAAATAAAGAACATGAAAATACATTTAGAATGAAAGCGTACTTGATCGGACCGATTTCTACTTAGTAATGCAAACTGAAAAATATAAGCCAAAAAGAGCTGCAAAGCTGTTATTAAGGACCTATCATTAGCCACATGAGATTTCTGAAACAGAAAATGTAGCATAGATCATCTCTATGTGGTCAATGTGAACAGCATATAAAACACTCAAGCTAGGGAGAGGACAATTAGTAGTACACACACACCTAGAAGATAACCACAACTGCAAGGAGTGCAACAGAAAGCAAGTGATGGGACTTGTGTGAACAGGCAAGATGGCGAAATGAAGGCAATTTATCATCATGGAACAGGAATGCTTTAAATAGCACATACAAGAAGAAAAGAAGGCCCTGGGTGGCACAAAAGGTTCAATGTTCAACTACTAACGAAAAGGTTGGCAGTTTGAACCCTCCCAGTGGTGCCTCAGAGAACAGGTCAGGCGATACACTTTCTACAGGTCACAGCCTCAAGAATCTACAGGGAAGTTCTACTCTGCAACACATGGAATCATCAAGAGTCACAACCAACTCAAAAGCAACTGAAAACAACAATGTGAGAAGGAAAGAAGAAAGAACACAGGAATGGGAAAGTTGGAGGTAGAGAAGAAAAATTATTATCAACAGGCTCAGTCATCAGAAAGATTGTGGGCATCTCAAGAAAAATGAGAAGGTGAGAAACAATCCAATCAATTTTCCTAAAAGATAACAGTAGAACACACTTGAGAGGGAAATTGAGTAATCTGTTAAATTTTTAAGATGGATAAATGGATTAAAGTTACTATTTAGGCAGGCAGACAAAAAAGGTGAATTGGAAAGAGACTGGGAAACATAAAGATACCAAGTATGCCAACTATAGGACTGTAAATATAAGAGGCAGCAATAAGACATGAATTGTTTCCCTGCAGACTGCACATTTAGCTATCCTACTCTATTTGTAACAAAATTTTAGAGATAACTTTCAAAGACTCACACCTACAAAGACTTAAAGAAGCTAAAATTGGTTGCTCCTTAGACATTGAGGTCTTGGGTAAAAATGGCAACTTCCCATACAAAATGGGACACATAAGCAGCATTTCAAAGGGAGTTAGAGGGAACCAGAAAGAGCTGGACATAAAGAAATTTACATGTGGGTTTTAGGCAATCAACACCCGGGATGAGAATGATGGAAGTGAAGAGGGGTCTGTCACAGAAGACCTGTTGTTCCATATGGGACAAAGCAGTGGTCCACAGAAGTAGTCTGGCCTCAAAGTCCTTTCAGTTCATTAGGGAGCTAAGATATGTGTTCTCTAAAACTTTAACCAGAATAAAGAAAAGGAGAACAGCAGTCCAGGAAGGTAATAAATTTATTTACATATTAAAGAGATCAAATTCTAAATTCTACCTCCTCCAATACTTAAAAAATAATAATAATAATAATCTCAAAATATAACAGTATACTTAGAGACTTTATAATTTGATTAGAAGTTATTGTATAATATATATTTACAAAATAATCATGACTGGAATATAAAACCATAGCATATTCCATTTCTAAGTTAAAGTCCAGAACTAATAAAGACTTGGATATTATACTGAAAATAATGGACATATACTAAGACAAGATCAATAAATATCATCCTCAACAAGATTACCTATTTTAATAAAGAATTACAGAAACTTCCATTTTTTAAATAAAAAAAATCCCATCTGAATTAAGATTTGCAAAAGAAACTTTCAATACTTGCTTTTTCCTATATAATAGTCTCTGTTGCCTCCTAGTGTAAGCTACACAGAGCCACACTATATACATATGTTTTCTGTGTAAAGTTACAAAACCTAGTGGAGTTCTATTTTCCAGGCCAAATAAAAATTATTTTCTTTGAAAACTAATTAGTATGATTAATACAGACTCATAAGCCTTTAATTACATTTTACATACTACATGTTAAAATAAAAAGAATGGTAGTTTATACCAAATTAATTTAGATTGCTTTAAAAGACAGCCATTTACAACAAACTAACCACTAACTTTGGTAAGATGTCCATTTATGGAGCAATCTTTGAATAAAATTAAGCTGCCTTGATAAACTAAGAAAATCTCAATCTTTTGAGATTAAAATTTTAAAGAAGGCAATTTTTATACAATAAATTTGAGCCAGGTTATTAGTATACAACTTTAATAAGTAGCTACTTTAAAGTAACACATTTTTTAAATTCTTAAACTTCCTCTCTCTTAAAATCATCATTCAGTCATTTTCCCATGGAGGAAAAAAATCTGTGATCCAGGCAAAATCATCACTTGGAGGAAAATGTAAACTTTACAAATAAAATATAAAATAAATATAGATTATATGATTTTGCTTAAGTTTTCTCTTTTGAAGATATGACAGAAATAATTTATGTTACTCTGATTTTTTTCACCTTTATTATATGAAACAAACAAACAAAAAAGGTCAACATCCTTGAAAAGAAATACTGAATTTCTGGAGTCATGGAGTCCGGATGAACCTCTGAAACTACTGCTCTGAGATAATCTTTAGACTTTAAACCAAAAGTATCCCCTGAAGTCTTCTTAAAATCAAATGATAGCTTAGCTTAACTAGTAAAGAAAGTCTGCCTTGACCATTCTCCTCTTTTAAGAAATAAAGACTGAGTAATCTACTTCCGTAGAGATACCGCCTTGTAAACCCAAGGAGAGGTCGCTATGAGTCGGGACCGACTCAATGGCAGAGTTTGGTTTTTGGTTTTATATGGGATCAAACACAACAGCAACTTGAAAGATTAGATCGGAAACTGAGGGGCACTGAGTTTATGTTAATGAGAACATAATTATGTCAGAAAAAGACAGAATGGTTGCACCACTTGAAGAATGTAATCAATGTCACTGAATTGACCATGTAGAAATTACTGGTACATGTTCTGCTGAGCATATCCTCAACAAGAGTTTAAATTATTAAAAAAAAAAAAAAAATGAAAGAAACATTACCTATGAATGGCACACATTGTTCCAGCTGCCAAATTTTTTTTAATTACCACCCTGCTATTTTACTGGCTTATTTATAGATGAAGTCTATATGTACCTAGGAAATGTAACCCAAGCACAGATAGGGAATAGTCAAAGGCAAGCATCACTGCATCATTTCAGTGATCAACAGTGAAGGACAAATGCCACAAATGCCAAAGACTAGACGTGAAGAAAGCAGGGGGCTTAGAGAACAGAATTATATCAAGTTTTAGAAGCATGCCTAGGAGTCAGGGAGAAAACATGAAATTGAAACAGAGACACTCATTGAATAAAGAAATGTGTACAGAGGTATAGCAATAAACATAAAATTGCAGCACAACATGATTTAAGCTTCCTAGAACTGAGTGTTAATTCTGGACCTGTCAATAATCCTCTAACCTTCATTGCCTGCTCAATAGACTGGAAAGAATGGCATGCAGCCTTCAGCCAAGGGCCAGCAACAAAAAATAAATAAAAAAGCTCCTCAAGTATGAATTATTTACATGCATAATACATATTTCAAGAAGAATGGCAATAGTGGTGATGGAGAAAGGAAGATTACAAAATAATGGACACAAGTTTCAATCTATCAAAGCCATGTATAAACATTTATCAAATTGAACTGAAGCTGTATCTCATTATTTAATAGTTTGGTAGCCAGGTTTTGACTACAAATTTTTAGCTCCATGACTGTGGTCAAGTCTATGAAAGACAAGGAGAGGTAGTCCCTGACTGACAACATATTCAAGTTACCACAAACCATACTTAGAACTGCTTGTGTGTGTGTGTGTGTGTGTGTAATCTTATCATTAGTAATAGGTACTGCAAGCAATATTGCAGCATATAATTCGTGGAATGTTATCATTTTCATCAGATGTATACTTGCAGATGTTTAAAGACTGGATTTGTAAATGTACTGATAACAAAAGGAAATAATAATGAAAACTGAAAAAAAGAAATATAAGGTATTTGACTTACATCTGAACCAACTGACAACAGATATGTCAGAATGGAACCCCATGGTAAATCAGGGACTACCTGTACAGTGAAACCTATGAGAGCTGGAACTCAACAGGAATGCTTTGTTTTCCCAGGTGTCCAAAGGTTTCCGCCTTTGACCAGGTATAGTCTTTCCACTTTTCCATCACTCTCTATTAGTGGAAAATATCTGACTTTTACTTCTCTGACAGGTTTCCGCCTTACACAGGTTCCAACTTTCACGGGTTTTACTGATTTTTCACTTATTTACATTCTGTGCCCAACATCTGCTTTTCCATCTGACCTATGCCTGGCCCAAAGCAGATGTTCACTGAAGGATAAGTGAGTGAGTGATTATTAAAATAAGCATGAAAATAAGGTCAAATTATAGTTCATCATAAACATAGTGTTCTGAGATGTACAAAATGGAGCCACAGGTGGCCAGGTGTCATTATATATGAAAGCCACAAAGTAACAGTCCAGATGCACTGAGTAGTTAAAAAAAAACATCCAGGGGATGAAAATTCAGACAGCCCACTCAGACAGTGCACACAAATATTTTAGTTAAAACATAAAGAAATCATCTTCCTCTTCTACTTGCATCAACAGAGAATACAGAAACCATCACAAGATTAAAATCATAGTCCCAATGTACTATAAATGCCTTCAGGACTTATTTTCAGAGAAAATACATTTAGGCTGAGACCTACTGAATACCAGACACATTGCTCTGACCTGTACAAAATAAAAAGACAAAGGGACTGAACTTTAAGGTACTTTTATCTAATAAGACAAAGAAAGGGGAAGAAGGAACAGGAAGAGTGCTCATGCAAACACAAGCTTAGTTGTTCAACAGGAGAGTTTTCATTCAAGAGACAATAGAAAGCTAGCAAGAACGTTCTATGTAAAGCAACAACTTCGGTGCAATGAAGCAAACAGAGGACTACTTTTAAATAAATTAGCCACTAAGGGAGCAGTGACACTCAGGCAGTCCTAAGGAGCCAGGTGAGATTATCAGCACAGCAGATGTGTTTGCTCCACGTAGACACTCATACAATGCAACCCACTTACACCACTCAGCATTTTGCTGGCTTTCAAAGCATGGTCTAAAAACAACAAATTGGGGAGATCTGAAACTGGATCGTGCACATTTTGAATGTCTTTCTTGTACTTCACCTATGGAAAGAATATGGAACAAAAGGCCATCTCGGAGAAGAAAATACTTGCTTTTGTCTTATGGTTATTACTATTTCTAAAACATCTTAAAGTACTATTTAAGGAGCTCTGGTGGCATAGTGCTGAAGGCATTTGACTGCTGACCAGAAGGTTGGCAGTTCAAACCCACCAGCCACTCTGCAGAAGGAAGACTGGGCAATGTACTTGAGTAAAGATTTACCACTTTGGAAACCCAAAGGGGGTCATTATGAGTCGGAATCAACTCATACTATTTAGTGGTAAATTGACAGGTAAATTTCCTAATAGCCACTAGATGGAGCTCATTTACTACTGAATCAGATTTTTTTTTAAAAAAAGTTTTTGTTTCCAAGGACTTAAAAAATATTTTGATAATCCCTTTAACATATTCAGAAAGAATGCTATTAAAGGATCAATTAATTTTATCAGAATGTCTACTTTCCAAAGTAAAGAAAATAGTAACTTTATTCTTTGGTATAGTATTTCAAGTATGCTTCAAAGTGATTTTAGGCTTTTGCAATGATTTTAGGACCTTATGGGTTTTCTATTTCAGTATAAAGCTTTTTTTCTTCTTCTTTTTCTTACCAACTGCTTGGAAATACTTGTAATAAAATATTATTGACAGTAAATATATGAAGCACTTACTACATGCCAGGTACTTTTCTAAGCACTTTGCATCTATTAGGTACTTAATTTCCACAACAACCCTAGGAGATGTGTATTTTAAATATTCCATTTTACAGATGAAGACTCTGAGGCATGTAAACCAAACCCACTGCCATCAAGTTGATTCCAACTCACAGTAATCCTACAGGACAGAATAGAAATGGTCCCTGAGATTTCTACTGTAAATCTTTATGGGAACAGACTGCCTCATCTTTCTCTTGTTGAGTAAATAGCTGATGAGTTCAAACCACCAAGCTCCTGCTTAGTAGCCAAATGTTTTATTCACTGTACCACCAGAGTTCCTCAAGGCATGGAAAGATGAATGTATAATATTAAGTGGTAAAACCAAAAAACCAAACTCATTACTGTCGAGTCGGATCCGACACACAGCAACCCCTCCTTGGGTTTCCGAGGCGGTATCACTACGGAAGTAGATTGTCCAACCTTCCTTCCAAGAAGTGGGTTTGAACTGCCAGCCTTCTGGTTAGCAGTCATATGCCTTAGGCATTACACCACCAGAGCTCCTAAAGGAGGACTCAAATTCAAACAATCTGATTCTAAATTTCGAGCTTTCAACACAACGCTCTAAGTTTAATAAGCATATTCCATCTCTATTTTTTTCTACATTTTTATAAAAACAGATATATCAGGTAAGAAAAAGAAATCATTATGGTATTTTTAGAGGTCCTACAAGACAGAAATACCCATTTCAATTGCTGGAAACAACATCGACCAAAAAACTTGGTTATTCAACACAAATAACAATGCCTCCTAAACAATGATAAAAGTAAAACACATTAATTCCCAAGGATATGACAGGAGTTGAAGAGTTTAGATGATTTAACAAAGTAACAGTTCAACAATATTTAATTTCAATACTTGAAGAGGTATACTACATATCCTTCAGTTAAAGCAAAGGGATCAGTTTTCTTCAAGTTCTTGTCTTTATAATCTGCCTAATTCTAATAAGGATTTAAAGCATTTTTTCTTTTAAAATAAACCTTCATTATTAAAAATAAAATCATATGAAGAATAATTTCACAGCATTTAAATAGAGGATAAAAAGAAATTATAATCCAATAAAATAAAATTTCTGAAAATTTCTTTACTATCATGTACCACGTAGTACTTTACAATAAACCTACTCTAATGGACATAATTACATGAGTTAACAAATGTCCTAACCACTAATTCACGATAATATACATTCCTTTTCTGTAAAATTTTAAAATCTATTTCTACTCTTGATCAGCTATAATAACTTTATTATTAACACTTGTTAACTAATTAGCAATCAGTACCATTAATAATATATAACAGTAATTGTTTAAAAAAAGCTTTGAGGACATATATATCAGTGTTTTCAACTACAAATTACTTGGAAATTACATGATCTTAATTAAAACCCATTGCTATCAAGTGGATTCTGATGCATAGTGACCCTACAGAGCAGGGCAGAACTGCCCCCATAGAGTTTTTTAAGGCAGACTGCCTCATCTTTCTTCCACAGAGTGGCTTGGTGGGTTCAAATTGCTGACATTTTGGTTAGCAGCTGAATGCTTTAACTACTGCACCACCAGGCTCCTTTTTGATCTTGATTAACTATCAGTAATTACAAAGCAGCCATCCTCAGAAAACAAGAATCAGAAGAAATTGAAAATCATTTTCTATCAATTATAAGTCATAAGACACAAATTAACTTACATTACTGGCTAGTATGGTAGCAAGCTGACTTTGCTTAAAAGAAGCACTTTCAAGGGGGTTGTAACGATGTTTCTTATCCTTCATTTCATTATCAAATTTTTCTTTGTATTTAATCTGTCATAAAAAAAGAAAATAGGATAAATTAAATAGCACATTCACCTTCAAGCTTTAAAAGCAGCACATCTGAATTTTAATTTGATTGAATAAAATCTACCTTAAAAGTGAAATGGCAGCAAAGTTTAAATGTCTGGTATTTTTCCCCCATGGAGCTTAATTGGGCATAAAAGTTTTAAGAAAAAGTATTCTACTGGGACATTGATCATAAATGCAATTAGGCATGAACCCAAATCCCATTAAAAAGAATTATACGCTAAAATATCAAGATTTTTAAATGTCAGTTTTCACTTCTACATTCCTATAATCTATGAGGATTAGAAATTGAGTCCACAAATCTCTTAAGTCTACCACATTTAGAAAAGGGGCTCCAGGCCCTAAAATGTGAATATGAATTTTTGTAAAGAAATTACTCCAAATAAAGGAAGAGAAGTGGATTTTAGTCTCTACTTTTTATTTTTCCGCATCATTTTCCCTATCTTATGTGTGCTCAAAATTTTATTTCTGGGGATTAAATTTTCTGAAATACATGAGATCTATTTAGCATCATTATTTCTTTGGGAACTCTGGTAGCATAGTGCCTAAGGCACTTGACTGCTAACCAGAAGGCTAGCAGTTCAAACTCACCAGTCACTACCTGAAAGCAAGGTTAGGCAATGTACTTCCTACTGCCCTGGAAATCCAAGAGGGGAAGGGTTGCTCTGAGTCGGGTCCAACTCAACAGTACTTAACAACAACAACATAATTTCTTTGGTCTAAATCTATGATTGTATTCACCAGCAGAGCTATCTCATATGTGTGTGTGTGTGTGTATGGGGGGAAAAAAAAAAAAAAAAAAAAAAACACCTTTACGGAGTTGATTTTGACTCATAGTGACCCTTCAGGACAGAGTAGAACTGCCCCATAGAAAGACTTCCAAGGTTGCAAATCTTCATGGAAGCAGACTGCCTCATCCTTCTCCTGCAGAACAGCTGATGGGTTTGAACCAACAACCTTCCAGATAGCAGCTGAGTGCACTAACCACTACACCACCAGAGCAGCTTTGTTCACTGTGAATTATTTTTCTCTGTTCTGAAGTAGTTTTAGGGCAATCAGAGAAAGGACTATGAACTTACCCTGTAGAACTCTTTTCCTCATGAGTAGAGAAATATATAGTGGCTAAGGCACTTGACTGCTAACCAGAAGGCTGGCGGTTCAAACCCACCAGCCACTCCTCGGAAGGAAGATGGGG